AAAAAAAAAAAAAAGTCTAACACTTAATGGCTTACCTGCCACACCTCATTGGAGTTGTGGCTATGACTATTAATTGTTTTTGTTAAAATCACTAAAATTTAATTTATATTTATTTTTTAAAAAAATAAATAATTTTGATGTCTAATTAATAATTTGTTGGTTTGAATAAAATAAACTCTATTTTTTAAATAAAATTTCAAATTTAAGTATTAAAAATAAAAAAATAAGTGTTGAAATAGCTTCCCTCTTCATGGGTCATGGCAACTCAACTTTAAATTAATCATCATTTAATGTGATTCTAGATATCACGGAGTTGGTACCCAAAAAAAGATAATTATAATATTTGAAAATATCAATTTAATATTTGAAAATATCAATTTATAAAATTATTGTAATTTATTAAGTACTAAATATAAGTTATTTTATCAATTATTAATTGTTCTAAACAATCAAATCAAACAAAATCAATATTTTCTAAACAAAGTTTGGTAGCCTAAATAAAACAATTAGTGGTCATAATTAGTGTCAAGACATCACTCTTTATTTTAGAATAATAGATTTTTTATTTTATTTTACCTTTAAATTTAGAATTTGTAGACAATTTTTATTTTTATTTATTTTACCTTTAAAATCAAATAAAAAGTTTTTCATGATAAAAATAATTAAAATTAAAAAATAATTATAAAATTAAAGTAAGAAAAATATTTATTTTACTTAAATTATAGAAAAATAACTATTGTTTTGAGATATATTAAAATAAAAAAAAAAGTCTATTATCATAGTACGGAGGGAATAAGGTCTATGATTCTAATCCCAACCTTTACATACCCACCTCTACCCTCGCTCTCAACAACTCTCCTCCCTCCCCGCCAACCCAAGGATGGAGTCAAGATTTTGTTACCAATCAAATTACAACATTTAAAAAATATTATAATTTAATTAGTTAAAAAACTTTTTTTTCTTTCTCTCAATCCAAATATATAGTAAATTATACATATTTTCTTTATATTTAAATGGTCCCTATAATTCAAATTTCAAAAATAAAATTTTATAAATAAATAAAAATATTTATACTATATTTGATCTTTTTCAAAAGTTTAGGGCCAGGGGCAGCTGACCCTCTTATTATTATTACATATAGTGAAACTACTTTGAACATCATAACATCCTCGTTACACTTCTTGCAAGTTTCAAACCTAAAATTTATTTGACATTTTCATTCATATATTTTAATTAAAACCACCCTAAAATATTGCAAACGTATGTGACGGTGTTTTGATGGTTGGAATAGAGAGCACGAATGCCATCGATATCATCCTGCGTCAGATCCCTTTTGATAGTTCCGGGATAAAGTGTCCTGTACATGACGGCGTTCAGATCCTGGCTATGTGCAAGTCCCAGGAGGTGTCCGATTCCATGCATCGCCGCAGATTCCAGGTCATATTCACTCTCCGCCGGACTTGTACTCCAACTCTCATCTGCATCGAAATGGAACCGCCCGTCCTCTGGCGGAAAAGCATGACATATCGTATTCCCCGGCCCATCAAACGGATATCCATCCCCGTGATCCAGCCGGTGAAACCCAATCACAATGTCAGGAATCATCACCACCCGTGCTTCCTCAAATGTAAAGTGAGAAACCTCCGCCCATCTTTGGAATGCTTGTGAGAACGCTGCCCTCAGGGTTCGCATATCAACCGCCTGAATATAAAAAATAAAAATAAAATAAAAATAAAAATGATAACAACTTAATCAAATTGATATCTAACTTATAATAATTTTAAAGTATTTTATTTTTTGATAATAATTTATTTATTAGAGTAAAAAATACTTTTATCCATTCAATATCTTATTTTTAACCGAGCTAGTAAATTGCTAATTTCAAAAAATCAATAAATTTATACCTGCACGCTGGAGCTGAAGGTATAGACAATATGAGTCTTGTAAACTGACCATCTTGTCGGTGCAAACGCATAATGAGCAACCAAGTGAGACGTAGACTCATTTCCATTCTTACCAAAGGTGCCGTTTTTGTAGATGATATCCGGGAAACCGCATCGGGGAATCATCATTTCTTTTACAGTACTAGAGTCAAGGGTTCCTGTAACTTTGAGATGAGAGTATTCTTGGTATTTTTTAAGGGCAGTCTCCATCTGATCGTTAAATTCATCTGTGAGCTCCACGCCTTCTGGATAGTAGCCGTATTTGTTAAGGTATTGCTTGACCTGACCAAGTCCTTCGATGTTTGTACCATTGTGGCATGCCTGGCATCCTTCTGCTTCCAAACTGTGGAGCAACTGGGAAAACTGTGATTCATTAAGTTTGAGGGTTATAGGGGAAACCTCGAAAGGGTGAAGCAAGACGAGAAGGAAAGCTCCTAGGAGAAAGAAGAGTTTACGAGACATAGATGAAATATAAAAGAAGAGAAGTGATATTGTTTGCAAATAGGATGGCTTCTGCTGCTTGCCTTGCGTGGCTATTTATAGAGGGGGAGGGGAATCCAAGTCTAGCAATAACTTGCTCAATGTAAATGTATGACAAATTACTGATGGATGCTTTTCTCTCTCATACTTGTGTCGAAAAACATCGGTAGTTAATTTACTTGACCACACCAACATCTCTTGCTTTCCATTAAGTCATATAGCGCGGCTTATTAATGTGCCAGAGACTGTCAAACGCAGGGTTCGAAACTATGATTTGTGTCTTGCGTATGATACAAAAAGGTTAAAATACCAATTTAGTCCCTAAACTTTTAGATTTATACCAAAAACATCCTTAAACTTCATAAAACACCAAAATAATCCTTAAACTTCAACTTTGAGTACGAATTTCGTCCTTCCATTAGTTAAGTGATGAAGTGGCCAACTTTTTTGTCTGAATATTCATTTCCTTAATTTAATTTTAAATATTACATGGAAATGAAATGAAAATTCAAACGGTTGTGGCTATTTTTCTTAGTTATGTAGCATCTGCATTAGTACTTCTATACTTTAATTAAAAACAAAATTAAAAATTAATTATATTTAATTCCAATTAAACTTAAACTAAAAGCTTAATAAAACTGCACTTGGGCCTTTGGGTTCAGTGGTGTCAAGTCATGTACAAGTGCATTTCTCAATCCCGAAATAACGGTTCGAATCTGATCCCATGCGAATTTGTTTAAAAAAAAAAACTTAATAAAACTAAAAATGAAAAACAAATCAGGGACCTACAACTTGTCTTTCTCCAACGCAAAACTCTTCATCGCCGGCGAAGCTTTTTTGTGTTTGTGTTGGTGAAAAATGGCGCAACAAAATGAGTAGTTCTTGTGAACGATATACTTGAACAATAACAAAAAATAATGAAACATGGTTAGTAATCAAGGCAATATATAACCAGCCAAGTAAAATAAAATGAGTGGTTTAACCAACCACTTAAGAGAAAAAAAATAAATTAAAAATATTAAGAAAAAAAATTATGAGATAAATTTCAAAAGATATTTTACTATGTAATAAATTAAATTATGCAGCAACTACATTCAAATATATATTTTTTCTTAATATTTCTTACACTCTTAGAATATAATCGTATTTCTTACGAACTAATAATTTTATTACTCAGTATACTCCCTTTGATAAATACACTTACACCTAAACATAATACTTAACTCACCCCCGTTTCTTCTGAGCTCGCTTCTTAGAACTCACTTTGCTAACTTGCTGCTGCACTCCCCGCTACTTGATCCTTGGCTTTGACACGTGTATTTATAGGGGAGAGAACCCAACCACGTGTGCATAATTTCTTCTCCTCATTTAATGAGTTAACTAGCGCT